ATCTCATGACTCAAGGTAATTACAAACAGCACTGGTCCACTTGAGACTGCTACTGGTATTATTTACCAGGACACCTCATTATTCATTATCTTTAATTACATATACTTTGGTAGCTTCTGGTGGGTTCCTTTATCAGTAAGTTCCTAACATACTTTGCAATGGAAAAAATATATTTGAAAACTTCATAGAATCACAGCAAGACCTAGGCTGAAATGGACCTGTGAGGGTCACGTAGATCAACACCCCACTTAAAGCAAGTCCATTTAGCTCAGGTTGCTAAAAGCAACTGTACCGTCAAGTTTTGATTATCTCCAGGGTTGTATATACCACAACCTTCCCAGCAGTCTGCTACAGTGTCTGACCATTCTCCTAGTGAAGTGTTTGTTTTTATTTTTAATAGGAATTTGGCACATTCCAAGCTTATGTACTGTCACTGTACACCTCTGAGAAGAGTTTGGCTACACCCTCCCATGAGGGAGCTGAAGCCATCAATAAAGGTGTAATACATGCGGCTAACGTGAAAATACACGTATTACCAATAAAAAGGGAGATACAGACCATCTCATAAGAATGAGTAACTAGATTTTCAGGCATAAAGTTAATTGATGGTAAATTTACTTCATGTTTTCAAAATTTGTTACATGTCCTCTTGTGGCATAAACTTTGCAATATTTTGGCAGGAAACAAACCAGAAAGAACTATGGGGCACACCTGTGCACTTCCTCACTCAAAGAATGCCTTAGGTGATTATTTATAAGCAGGTAAAATGACAGTGCTCTAGATACCATTTCAGTTTACATGCCTGGTTTTATAAAATATGTGACTCAACCTATCTGATATTTTACAACATGCATGTAAGACTCAAAAAGGGACTTACCAGTGAATCATATAGTACTACTGTTTGATGGTGTAGCCACAGAGCATGATTGACATAGTTTCAGAGAGATCAGTGAACATTTTAGCCAGCAGCTTACTTGTGTCTAATGCAGGAGCAATAACTTTGCTCAATCCTATCAGTGCTGTCTGTACAGAATGCCCTGCCCTAAAACTCATCTGCCACTGGGATACAATCCAATGTTTATTTCCATTAGTTTAGCCATTGTTGGTAACAATAAAGATCAGGAGACAGTTGCAAACTAATGATTTACAGGCAGAATGAAACATGGGATGACCTTGGCTGCCTTCCATTCATCAAGAAAATGACTGGTAGTTAGAAATAAATTAAAACTATTGCAAAAGGATAACATAAGTTATTTCTCCGATAGGTAATTTTACCAGCTAAATAGCCCTGTCATTAAACCAGCAGCTGTTGTACAAATTATATTCCAAGATAAAAAAGAAATTATAGCTTCCATAGTTGTTGCAGCTTAGAGAATGATGAAAACCCCAATTCTAAAGGAGCTGACAAAAAAGAAGCTCTTGCGATAAGGCTGAATACAGTCTTGGCTGGACTGTACTCAGCGGAATGACTCTTATGAAAGTTAAGCAGAAAAGATCATATAAGTAGATCTATTATCAGAAAAGGAAATTCCTTTACAGGTGATTCCTTGACTGGAATTTGCATTGTTAATGAAACTTTGGAACTTTGTATTGCAACTTAAGTTATTCCGATAATACCATCAGCAATATAGTCTTGTTCATATTTTTGATAGTAATTGCAGTGAGATGTTTTTACCTTTACTCTTTTTTAGAAATGCCCATTACTGTGATTGTTAATGTTTCTCGGGTTTTGTGAAGTCCTGTACAGCCATCTCAGCCCTTTCAGTATTTTCTGCCTTGACTGCCCTCATGCTCCATTCCCTTTTAATGACTTCCTTCTTGGCCAAGGGAGAATAAATAAAACAGCAAACTATTCAAACAGTTTCAGTGGGATACTACAGAGAACAAAGTGGTGGTCCATGCAACTATAATTTATAAAATATATTCTGGTTTTCAGATGTATGGCTAGCCAAAAATCAACATCTGGAAAGAGTTTTTATGTTTGCAGAAGTACATCTCCAATGTCATTCAGGAATGGAAATGTACTTTACCTAGATACTCTATCACTAGCCAAAAAAATATACAACTGACAAAAGAAATAGAATTCAAAAAGTAAGATGAAGGGAGGTTGCATCTTTCCTGGTTTTATTTTTTTTAAAGCAAGAACTCCATTTTTGCCTGTCAAGTGTTAAGTACCAGCATCAAAACAGGAAGGCATTGGACTTCTCCGAGAACTGGCCACCAGTTACTTCTTTTAAATCCTGAACAAAGCAGGCTATTTATTTTTCCCGGTTCCTTTTCAGAAATAATATTTTGTCTGAAACTTTCAAACTAAATTTTGTCTGCAGAAAATGCTAGACCTTGAGAATTTTAAGCCAAATTGCCTGACAAGTGGCAAAGCTGTAGCAAACTGAACGCAGGATCTTAGAAAAAGAAGTGCTGGGAAATATTTCTAACAGGAATGTTTTCAGCCCTGTCAATAATTATTAAATAAATGCAAGTCATCAGTGTGGTCACAAAGATGCAGCATCAGGATGAATCAGTATCTACATCCACTGCTGGGATATAGGTAACCATGGTGCCTTGCCCATTCTTCCTACCTGGGCTGGCACTGGTGTGCCCCAGCACACACCTGAGGCAACAGGTCAACCCCTATGGGCTGCTCCCACCTATCCCACCTGCCCATGCCAGAGGTGGCACCCCACAGACAAGGCAAACTGGAATCCCTCCCTGGCGGTGCTCCAGATTTGAGAACAGCCAGACTACTGCAGGGAAACCTTCACTCACAAACACAGACATGCACACTTAAAACTCCACAAATGAGCAATCCTTAAAAAAGGTCAGGAAAGATGATTAAATGAAAAAGCAAAAACCTGGCAGAATTTTAGACATTAAATACCATTAAGAGACATTTTTCCCACCAGATACTGTACACAGTGTTAATGTGAATATTATATTGCTGACAACTTGTTCTTGACTGAATTATGAAGCTAATAATTTACAAAGGAAGGATGTAGTACTTCTGTCAATGTCTTATGTTGCTAACTGTAGCAAATTAGTACATTTACCTCATATTATATAGCTGAGACGTTTGTTTGGCAGGAAGCCGTGACAGTAAAATAAGAGGGATTAGTATGCTGTCATTTTTCTACAGTCCGTATTTTTCCATAGCTGATGACACTTGAAAGCTAGGAAAGAACCTGCTCTGTTTTCACAGATTTACTCATCTACCAATGCAGCATGTCTTTGTGTGTGATATACAGCTATGCTGTAACCATCAAAACTCAGATTAGGGCTACTATGTTAAGACATTTTGCAAGCCAGGCATGCAGATAAGGAGTACATGTATCAGAATGGAGAGCATTAGAAGCTGTTCCTGAAGCCTACTTGGGGTAATGAGCCCACCTTTACTCAAAGACTATGAAACAGTAACACTGAAAATTGTGTTGTGATTGGGAGTGTTATCTGGCTATATATTTCCTAAAAAATTAATGTTTTTCAACTTTATGACTGTCAAGAACTTTAGCCTAATAGCATGGTCTGACAGACAAAATACTGCAACAGGACTCAAGAAATCACACATTTGCCTAGTGCATTTGTTCAAAGGATAATGTCTCCCCTGAAAATTGGGTATATATAATTTCTCAGTTTGTTTCACAGCCATGACAGAAGCATGAATCATTATCATTGTGCAAAGTTGCCATGAAGAGGACTGCAGTTTTACCACTGAAGATACTTACATAGTTGGAAGTAACTAATTTTTGGCAAAAGTCAAGCCTAAGGTTTTGATACTTGTTATTTATTGTTAATGTGAGAGACTCAAAAACAGTGTTATGAAATGACACACGCTGTCAATGGCCTTCCAAATTCATCACACAGACAAGGCAGCCTAACACCACCAAGAGTTCAATGCAGAATCCTAGGCTGAGATAGAGGAGACCTAGAACTAAGTCTAAAAAGCCATAAAAAAAGTCTACATACTGGTGGTTTCACAAGTATGTTAGGCAGCTAAATCCCTGCTTCAGATTATACAGCTTTTGGGCAGTTGGTCTGTTCTGGGACAAATTGCCTCTCTTCCTGTCTGGTCAGGCCCTTCACCTTTCTGAATGATTGAGCCATTCAGACTTAACGGTCTCCTCATTTTGTATTTGAAAATCACCTAACCACAAGTGGGGAGAGGAGCTGAAGCTAGAAATCTCCAGGATTTATTCGGACACCTCAAGTTACCCTTACAACTGAAACAAGAGAGAGTCACTTGGGGGATCATTCTGTGGTGGTCTGATGGTCACTCAAATGACTGGACCTCAACATACATCCCTGGTTTCTACTTTAAAGGAAGTCATTCAAGAACTCATTTGCATGAGGCAAACTGCAAAACCTCATAGCTCATTCCACAAACAGTGGTTTTACACCTTTTTCATGTAAATATATTAATTTGAGATATTTTAAGGTTCCCTTACCTCAAGGCTAAGTCACGAACATTTGGGGGCCTGGGATGAGTCTTAAATCTTTACTTGTTTCCAGCAACTAGAACCTTCTGCTTGCAACATTTTGAATCTGCCAAAAGAGTCTGACCGACCTACAGGGAAGCTGCCTTCTGCATTTAAAGCAGGGAGACTCAGTAACTTTCAACTGCATATACTTTTCCTAGGAATACAGCCCTAATATAGCTGCAGTCTCCAACAATGGCAATGACTTTTGCATGTTCTTAGTATTATGTCAAGCTATCTGTACTAATTCAACAAATGACCTACTGGAAGTATTCTTTTTCTATTCATCACATTTATTTTCCTCATCTTAAAAAAAACACAAGCATGGCAGCAGAGGGAGACAACTGCTATTTGACAAATAGCATGCTGACAATACCCTGGCTGCAGTAACACTTCCTTAACACTGAGACCAGTCACCTTACAACAGGAGTCCTAGTGATACTTCTCAAACCTTAGCTTGCAGCAAAGTACATGAACCATTTCATTTACCATGACAAGCTATCCGTAAATAAAGACATAACTGAACTTTACCCCTTGTTCTTGGCAGATCTGGGTTAGTCTTTCCAGCTGCTCATCTTGAATAACCTTTGCCTTCTCATATTGCTGAATCATCATCTCCATCTCCACTTTCACTGGAAGGACATATGCTGGAAAACACAAATAAGCACTTAAAGTAACCCAGCTGTGATTTCTTTCCTTTTTTTTTTTTTTTTTTTTTTTTTAACAGGCCAAATAATGTCACCCCTTCCACTTGTATGTAGAGAACTAGAGCATTTCTTATAGAACTAGCGCTAGAGTACTTCTCCTGAGGAAGGATTTCTAACATGTGAAATGCATGTCATCAGTAGGGTCTAGATCTTGTCTTGTCAGACCTCCATTTACCTGGCTGAGCTGAAAATCATCCAGCTTCTGCTGCACTAATACAGATCTTTTACAGTGGGTACCACAGATTTCTTAAATTGCTGGGTAGAAGGATTTTCGTTAGTTAGGCTCATCCCCTCTAAAACCTGAACAGCATGGCTCCCTTAGGAAAAGAACTCTTCCAGAGCCCTAAGCATTTAATTCCTAGACTTTGTGGCAAGAAATAAGTCCTTAATGGAAACTGCAGACTAGGAAGGGTATTTAAAAAAACCAAAAATGCATTTATCTTTTACTTCTCATGCTACAGCCCAGTTTTCAATAGGCCTTCCGAACACCTCTGGAAAATTTGCTCCTGTTATAACTCTGACAAACTCAGGCTGATCAGCAAGGCTGTTCGATGCCTATTGCAATTCTTGATATTTTCTGAAGATAGACAAGACCCTGAACTTTTCTTGTACACTTCTGAGGGCTATGACCTTTCCCCAAAATAATAACTGGACTCTTTCACACATGAGCAAAGGGACCCTTCATTTATCCCTCTATCATCTCTTTTCCCTGTAACCTGAAATGCCTGCAACAGCTGAACACAAAGTAGCCTGTGCTAAAGCCCATGCTTCCAGGTACAGCCACCAGTTCTGATCTTCGCAATCTTGACTTGCTGGGGCTCTCTCATCCCCCACAGTGCCTCCCCACAGAGCTCTGTGCAAAACAATACCGATACACGCTTCATTATTATGCTGTACATACAGCACACCAGCATTGCAGAGAGCACCTTCAGCATGGAACCCCTATAGTACGAAAATGCTCCTGGAATCTGACATAAAAATTGTATTACAGACAAGATTTTGGAAAAGAAAGCCCCAAGACAGAGCTAGCTGTATGGAAATGGGGAGGGTGCAGCAAACATCAGAAAAGCAGATTGGATGCAGTTATTCTGCAGAATCAGGAATGACAACTGGTGGCAAGAGACAGGAAGGAGGTCAGGGCATTTACTTTACAGGATAGGGGAGGTGAAGGTGCCTAAGATGAAAACAAACCAATCAATTATAAAGGCTCCTAGGGAACAGGAGATACAGTCATGAACTTGAGATCTACTCTACTCTATGGGAGTCAACTCTGTTCAGTGCTTTTAAAACATGAGGAAAGAAAGCAATGGTGGCAAGCAATCTTTCCATATTTTTAAAATCTTTTTTTTTCCAGCCTGCCAGGTAAGTCTTGGGAGTCACAAACTGTATCACCACTCACCATCAATGATCCTCTTCACTCTCCATATTCGTAGCGTGATAATAAGGCTGATAGCATCCCATGGGCTGCTGGGGCCATTAGCCACTGTTGAGGCCACCATTGGTGCCAAGGACAAGATTATGACAGCACCATCAAACACCTAGAGAGAAATCAGTTTTTTCAAACCCTTTCTCAAGACTGTAACCTTGTCATTCCTGCTTTGGGTTTTGAAGTGCTCCCACTCTGCCCAAAAGAATGCAATTATGGTACATATTCGAAAGGGACAGGAGAGGTGGCCAAGCCACAGAAAGGCTGCATGCTTTTTAGGTAGCACAACAGAATTCCTTAGTGCATTTTATGAGGTGAGGAGAGATAAACTGTGGTGGGAGGGCAGGGAGAGAGAAAAGTATTTAGAAATACTGGCCAGAATCCCCAAGCAGAAGTGATAGCCTAAATGCTATTACAGCTAAAGAGTTTTATTATCACTCGTATTTATTACCTACTACTTGGCATAATATCATCCCAAAAAAGGATACAGTCCCTGCCCATAGATCTTACTGTCTAAATGAAGAGATCAAGAAGACAAGTAGAAAAAGATGGAGCAAAGAGACTTGATGGCTCTTTGCCACGTCCTGACTACACAACGTGTGTGGGAACGGCTGTGCATCAAGACAGAAAGACTCCCTGCTCTCACCTTTATGGGGCAGCTAGGTTTTCAAGGATTTTGACAACTGGGACTATTCAGAATGATTTGTATGACATTGGCTGCATTGGGATTAGATCAGAAAAGGCAACTGTACAAAGTATTAGACAGAAATGCGTAAGCAAATACATTTCAGAGCAAACTGGCAACAGCGTTATGTCTGACTTACACTCGCCTAGCAGGATAGAACAGAATACCACATTCTCATTCCTACTGAGACCCTTCCCAGCTGCCAAAAACCATTGATTAATGGTTTGCATAAGGAGGCAGGACACAGATTTTATAAGCACTATACATTCAGATTTGAGCATAACAATTCAGTGTACTGAAAAGAAACACTTCTTACTGCCTCCATTTGATGGGCAGTGAACAATATCACTCCATTTCAAATTACTAGAATGAATTATCAGAAATCACTGCATTTAGCTTTAATAATAAGAATCTCTGAATCAATAATTTAAGTTTCACTTCAGTTTTTTAACAAAACAAGTTAAAAGATTTACAACTTTATTACAAAAATGTGCAAGCCTCTAGACTCACAAGCTCTGAGAAAACCCAGATTTTCTTCTGGTGCACCCTGTGCAGTATCAGTTTATCAGACAGCATCAATAAAGAGCTTTCAATTTTCCTGATCAAGATTTCTGCTCAGACTGGGATTATGTGTTATTTATTACACATGTATTTCCTTATCTGCCTCTGCAACAGTATGCACATTCTACCTAATTTTTAAATTGAAGTACAAATTACGGTGTTTATTGTAATTAGGTTTAATTTTAAAATAATTTCACAATAAGATTGGGGGGGTTTGCCAAACCAGTATTTTCTATCAGAAAACTACACAAAATTTTTCAACCAGTTCTAATTTCAACTTGATTACAGAAATGGGGTTACACAAGTCATACTACAGTCCTCACTCATATTGCTCATTATCTCAGGGTAGCAGTATCAACAGTTAGACAAGCATAGCTCTAAACAACAAAACAGACAGACACAAAGGAAAAATGTCACAAGCCCTCCCTTAATAGAATATTTCCAAATATGTCACTCTTCTGAATCTCACCACAAAAAAGACTGCATCATACAGCTATGTATACACGCATACAGTAAAAAGAATGTGGATATTTATCTGAGTTAAAAGATAATATATTGCATCAGATCTATAACAAACCTACCCAAAGCAGTTCTTAATATTCTTACTGTGTCTGCCTGGAAAACTGTACAATGAGTAAGAGTGCTTACCTCTATTTTGTTTTCAATGTAATCCCATATGCCAAGGACCACAATCCTCAAAATAGTCTAGTAAAATAGATCAGGGGAAAAAAAGATGATGAATGTTACTGTAATTTTAGATAAACATTTAGTCCTTTATCTATTTAGGGGATCATTTTTTGTCTTATTTAAGCATTATGCATTTCTTCTGAATAATGAGGATCTCGAAATAGCTACATTTCTGTATTATACAAGCAGGTATTGCTTTCCAACCACTGTATTGACTCAGTGAAACTTCCATAAACAAGTTCCAAGTTCAAATGTTCATCAGTCTTTCCACCCTCCTAAAATTTCACTTTTAGACTTGTGAGATTTAGATTACCAGCCCTCCCCACTCCACTCCCCTGACCCAAGCCTACATAAGATCCACTGTGGGGCCCCCTCAGTTGGAAAGGGGGAAGATTCTCTTTTCTTTTAATCTTTGATATGCCAGTGTTTACTATTTTCTAAGAAAAGAGGCACTGCTCCCTCTTGATGCCTAAAGGTACTGACATTTCATCAATCTGAAGAGCAGAGGCTCTTATTCTCCCACTCTGGAGTACACGGCCCAGAAGTCATAGGATAAGGGAGAAAAATATCTCTGTGATCCTCCTCTAGGAAGCAAACCAGCTATAAGTAGCATCAGTAGCTAGAAGAGAGGAATAAACAACACAGAATGAACCAATGGTGAATTCCCATTAAAAAAAAATCCAACGCATCTTTCCTAATTTTTAACCCAGCTTTCAGAAAACGCAATAAAAAAAAATTTTTAAAAAATCAATCAGCCAACTAATGATTGGAATTGAATTCACATAAAAGCGTAACTGGTAGGGATGTTTTCTGCCAATAGCAACATCAAGGTCAGATTTTGACAGACACTACAGACATGAAGAGCCTAACTGCAGCTGTGTGCCTTGAAAAGATGATCAGAATGCTACTTTCTACATTAAAGAGCAGTACTAGTGACAGAGAGCTCAGCAGGCCTATTTGTGAGGGGTGACCATGCCAGGAACTGTGCAGAAAAAAGTTACTGTGACGAAAATATGTATTTCCTCTTCGTTACAAATACAAATATATTAAACCCCAACCAACTCTGAATTTATGCCAAACATACCAACACTAACTAGCTGCAGAACAACATTGGATTTTTCAGTACTGTTCCTATGTGTGGTTTTGCCAAACCCCACGAGCCCGATTGCCTCACTTGGCCCAGGATGACTGTGCTGAGCTCTACCTTGGCACTCCAAACTTGGATAAGAGCACTTAATCCTGTTTTGCAGAGGTAGACATTGCTGTGGGAGATATGGTGCTTTCAAACACCAGCCTCATGCCATCAGTGAGCAGGAAAGTGAACCAGCCAACACTTTACTCAGAAATGGCATATGGGAAACACTGGCCAAGTCTGGCTGAGAGAGGGAGCCACTAGCCGTAAGAGAAAATGAAGCATGCTCTTTCCTCTACAAAAAATGAGACTATGTAGACACCGAGAACTGCTAATACTGCTGGTCTATACTCCTAAAAAGAATGTTTGACTTCCAAAGCATTTTACAAATGCAGCCTAGGAATAAGGGTCACAGCAAATTCCTTATTAACCTGTATGCTCATGGTTTTTATGTGGAGGAAGAGATGCACAACAGCAGCTCCTCAAATCCTTTAATGACTCCAAATTCACCAGCATGATGTGGTGTCATGTAAGCACAAGATGTAAGTACACATGCTGCTGTACAACCAAGGCACTCCTGCAGCCTCAACACAGGCTCTGAGCAGAATACTTTCAGAGAAAAGCATCGCAGCTCCTGTCAGCACCTCCTTTGCTCCCCATTGAGAAGCTGCACAACATGCTTAAGTACCAGTTACTTACGAGCCTGTAAATTCACCCATGTTAGTTAATCTGGGGTCCACTACAGCAAGTTCCACAGCACGCAGCCATTGGTAAACACAAAGAAAAGCAGCACCTTCTTTAAAGGTTGGGATGCCACCCTTCCTACTGCAAGCGTGGTGACAGCATGGAGCAATCTGCCTCCTTTTTTCTATGCTTAGGCAGCATTTATGAAGTGCTACATCAATGAGTAACTAACTAAAGGGTGGCTGAACACTTAACACCTTTACAGTAACTGGTGGTGAAAATCTTTCTTCCTTTGGACAGATGTGCACAAAGGTATTTTCACTGAAATAATAAGGCATATTTTCACAAAGAAAACAGAAATACTGTCTCACAACCCTAAATATGATTTAACATGGAGCTGTTGAGGGAACATAAAGGATTTTCCTTTCTGCCCTTTTAATTCCTCACTGCAGTGTTTAAATCAGATAGTGCTACTGTCATATTAATGGGTCTGAGCAATTCCAAGGGCTGGAAGCTAGCACAAATGTTTTCATTTTCAGTCTGCTGATGTGAATCAGCACAAGTCATCAATGACTGGAAGTCTATGCGGCAGGCATTTAATTCAGTAATGGTTGGTGCTACCTTTAGAAGATAGGTCTCCTCCTCAGAAAAAAATGCCTTGGTGATTAGCATCTTTGCTCTCAGCTAGGGCAACACACTGCAGGAAGAGTGAGTGTGAGGGCAGCATGAACCCAGCTCCCCAGCTGAGAGATGCACTCTTCAGAACAAACTGGTCACGAGTGAGGGTTAAGCTTTAAAAACACTTGTTCTGTATGGAAGGTCTTAAAGCTACACACCAGCATTGTCACTCTTCGCAGAAAAACTCACATCATCACCGAAGTGACACAAGCCATGCAAGGCAGATTTTCCTTGGTGCCCTGGGGAAACTGGGCACCCCAAGGAAGTACCATGAGTGAGTCACAGCCTGCATGCATCTGGAGACACAAGTGCCATACGCTTACTGTCTTCACTAGTGGCAACTCCAAACGAGGTTTAGCTTTCTCTGCTCTCCCTCCATACAAAGCATGAGATCACATTCCCTGCGGCTGCCATAACGCTTATTCAGAGGAGTCTGAACCAAGCAAATTTGGACTTCACTGGGCCAATGTCCCTCAATATAATAAATACTTTGACTGAAATGAAAGCATTGGTGTTACTTATAAACAATATTTTAGTATTTTTCCTAAGCAATCAAAAACATCTTTCAAACAAATACATAGTGCATTTGATTGTGTGCTTTCTCTGTACAGAACTTTAAAAAAATGAGAACCTGTAGAAGCATCTGAAAAAAACAGAGACAGAAGTTAATAATCCAGGAAACTTCCTATGCACTGTACATGGACCAAACTGAAAAATACATAACGAATTAAAAGAGAATTGCAGCTGTAACATTCATCACAGACAAAACATAAATGTTAGTCACAACTCTACCATTTGTAGACGCAAGTATCTGTAAGAAACAGGGAAAAAAAATGGAGTAGCACTTCTGTTTCCTACTGATGTGCAGGCATTTTTCAGCACTGTAGCAAATGCACACACATAGTTTTGCATTACACTACAGGCATTCTGCATTTTTGGACAAACGTATTTAAAGCAAACAATAAATATCAGTGTGAGTGCTTTTCTCTTAAAGGCCACTACCAGCTTGATTTTTTTGTACCTGAAAAGGAATGCTGTAATATTTCTTGACTGGAAATATTTTAATTAGAACTCTTTAAAATATCTATTTTTTAAGTTATGTCAGAAATACAATTTTTGTTTTCTGAGAAAAGCTATATTATTAGATAAAAGTCTGTCCAGTGCACTAATAAAAGGCAAATGACTGAATACTTCTGTTAAGTTCTTTAAGTTGGAGTAAACCCAGGTAAAAGTAAACTTTTAAATAATTTTTCAGAATTACAGAAATGTAATTTCAAAGTTGACAGTGTCCCTTGGTGACACAGTTGTTTGCACATTAACCATCTGCAGTGAAGTTTATGAAGAATTGTGTGATGCTGCGTGTTTTCTCTAATTTTGTAGGGGAACCTGGCCAAGTCCTTTGCTGAGCCAGCTGTGTGAATTCCCACAACCTGCATGAGCTAGCTACATTTGTCAGCTGACTGCAATGTACATTAGGTAATTTTAAATACTTTTTTGCTTGCACAGTTAATATACAATTTACTACTCAGTGACTCACCCCGCCAGATTCATCCATAGTGTAAAGAAATCAAAAGGAGGCAGCAGAGGAGGTGAAGCTGGCCCACCAGATTTAGCTGACAGCAAAGTAGAGCAACTCTGCATTTCAAATAGGGTAGTGATTGTACAAGAGATAGAAAGGATGGAGTGGGGTGGAAAGGGTGTCTCTTTAGAAGAGCCTTTCCTTCCTTCCACTGCCAAAAAACTAATCTATTTGTTACAGAGGGTCTTTACCTCTGGCTTATAAAGAATCTCTGAAGATTAAGCTTCTGTCTTTTGGATATAACTCATAAAACCAAATATTTACTGAAATCTTTCCCAGAGAGAACACCTTGTACCCAAAACCTGAAATTTATAATCTGCCTGGTTTGGGTCACTTCACAGAGGTCTTAGCTCATGCACTACTTAAAAGACTCTTCTTTTGCCATCTTTGTGTGTTTGTCCTGAGATACTGCAATTAGCTGTTTTAGTGTGGTCTATCTTCAGGCCACCGCAGCATGGAGGAAAATGTTAGCATCTTTAAACTGAGATGTCCTCCTGTTTCAGTGCACAGGTATCCTCCACACATGGTTTCTCTTCAATCAAGGCTGTGAAAGGAAACATGTAACGACTGACCTCATCTCACATACTACCCAGTACAAAACACTCCCCACATACTGTACTCTAACTGCTGTGGCTCTATCAGCACATGTGGTCACATAGAAATAATTCACTGCAAAAGCTTGGTGACACTAATAGACATAAACACAGTATATTATTTTTCACTGACTACCACTAATACTATTATGATATCATACAGCATTCAAACGCACCTTTGCATAAACACTGCAGTTCTAATTGTTCTTAAGTTCTCCCATAATATTTTTTCTTAGAATACAGAGAAAAATAATGAATTTTAAACTGACAACTCCAAATAGATTTGAAAGGGCTTTTCAGGAGTAGAAATGTCTCACTAGAGATGCAGCATACTGCCATAAGGTAAATGCAGATTGGATAGAAAATTGGTCTTCAGCAACTCTGCATCAGAAGTTCCCTCTGGGCATGATTACACCAGTGCTAATTCTTATCTTTGAAATGCACTGTGTAGAAAGTGCTAGACTGTCGCTATCAAGAGATGGAAGCACAGATGAAGCACTGATATATGGTGTGCTCTAAGTCAGGTATATTCTTGGGAACGAAATGGGCAGACTGGTATTTCAGGAAGGTGTCTAGTTAATTCCTAGACCTCTACAAGAACATTTTCCCAGTAACTACTTATTTTGTGAAGCAAGAAAAGTGGTTAGAAAAGAAATTTCACAGTGTATTAAATATTTAATTTTCTACACACCGGCAAAGAAGGAAGTTTGAATTTACCTTTATAAATTATACTAGTATATAAAATCCGTATCTTTGATCCTAATTCTCCTAATCAACTCCTTAAAAATCAAAACATTCACAGCCAGAAATGCAGTGCGTTTGTGCACCATGAGAAAAGGTGTGTGTACATGGAATGAAAGTAAACATCCAGAAAAAAAGCCGCAGCTTATGGATGAATTATAGAATCACTAGAAGACTATTAACTTTCTGCTCAGCTGTTTGAAGCTCATGAAAAAAGTAACACAGCTAATTGCCAATATAACATTACAAATTTGTTATGAAAAAACTATATGGGAAAAACATTATTTTCTCTTAGTTCTGTCATTTGGGATGTTTTTCCCTTTTAACAGAACCCTAACAGTAGGGTGTCCCTTAGGAGATTGTATTCCTTCCAAGGATTGCTATTAACAAAGAGTAAAGTGTCAGACTATTATGAACACTTCCTTTTAACATAAAGAATGAGAAAAGTCTTGGGTGGTTTTTTTTCCTCCTAGAAGTGAAAATGCACTTGTGAGCCACTGCTAATGAAACAAGTTCTTTATCAGCTAGGACCCCAGACTTACTCTCCTCAATTTGAGAACTCATTTCTTTGACACAGATGCAGGAAAAAAGTCACAATTCTGTGACTACCTAGCTTTAAGCACATCAGAAGACTTGGTTACTCCCAGGGAAACACTCAAGTGCTGAAAGCTAGCAGAATGCCTGAGTGCTTGGCTGACTGAAGCACATACAGAGCAATGCAAACAACTAATATCAATACTCGACTCTTGCACGCAATCTCATCAATCTTAGTGGAAAAGCAGAACTGAAGAACAGCTACAGAATCAAATATTTGTGGCAATGTGAGAAGACTATTAAAACACAAGCAGACTCCAATCCACTTACCAAAACACTGTGACATTCCCCATCTTCCTTTTCTCAGCCAACTATTATCAAGGCTGAATTTGCCCTCTTGAAAGGGTGTAACCCCGGCCTTGCCTTGCTGTTGGTACTGGGGTTTCCCCCCCAGTGTCTTTCTCTTCTCTTCTGTCTTAACATCTGGGTAACATTTGGTGCACAGACAAATCATAGTGATGTATGTAAACAGAGACAAACATACACAATCAACACCACTAGTAAATCCTGTTCAAACTTGGAAAAAAGCAAAAAGAGCTGATGTGCACTTCACTTGAATAAGGATATTTCAATGTTGGAAAGTCACAGACAGTGACAGAAAATATAAAATTAACAGAGTGCAATAAATTCCTTTAAGGCTCGTGGCTGTAACACAAGTGTAGAGAGAGCAGGAAGATGCTGTGAAAGTAGCTACTTAATTTTGTTGGCAGCTGTTCTGCTGGCATTTGCCAGCTGCTGGCATGTTTGTCCCCTTCATTTTAACCAAGCAGAAAGCCAGAGCCTGTTTAAGTCCAACATGAGGGGACTGTAATTACTTGCAATGCCTTTACAGTACCAGCTTTAAATCAGTCATATTTTTCCAAAGCATTCAGATTTCATGCAGAAAGTTTTCTGGTTTTTAATACAAAGTTGTAAAATACTTGTTATTTGTTCTCTAAGTCTGAGTTGAGGCCTTTCTGAAGAATTGTATATTCACACAACAAATGAGAACCAAACTACAGAATAAACAGTAAATTCAAACTTAGAACATGGTACTTGCTATGGTAGCAACCCTTTCTGAACAGTAGAAACCTGACTTTGAGAAAAAAGGCACTGACTGAAGGACTAATCAATCCTCAGCAGTTGCCTGTTATATCCAAGCAAACTAATTAAATCTGCTCACATCTCTGGAAAATCATCCTGGCACAAATAGTCACAGACTGCAAAAACTCACTATAACACATGATCTACTCAACAAATAATTCCTATCAAAGACAGCTGACTCATGGTATTGGGAATCAGAGGGCAAAAAATGTCCTAAAGGCACCAATAGAGTAAATAAAATGAAGATGGATGAAATAAAAAATATTGTAATCTGCAATTCTGCAGTGTTTTGTAACCTCTTCAAAAATCAAAGGTTTTGATTTGGATGAGAAAAAATTTAAACCCTCTGGTTTTCCTCTGATGAGACACATTTCAACAAACAGATGTGCTCATTAAACCAACCTGGTACAAGGCCAACCCCAGCAAACCCAGTAGGAAAGGTACACTCTTCATTCTCTTCCAGATCTGAGGCTTCTGAAGCACATCCAGTTGCTTTGTGGAGCCACCTCTTTGCTTTAACCCAGTCAAGGACTCTGAACTGTCAGATGAACCAATATCCAAAAATCTACCCTTCTCTGTGCACTTTACATGGCTGCCTTGGGGTCTCATTTTAGTTTGGTGTAAATTCAAACCATAATCAAATAGGTGAATGAAGATAATACTTTGGAAGACAGAAACAGATAATAAAGTGAATGATAGGAAGTTTACAAAAAATGAGAACAGACAAAGAAAGTAGTTCCAAATACCTGCTAGACAGAAAAGCCAACGATCCAAAGTGAAGATGATGAGTCAGCCAACCAGTTTTGGCTCTGTGAAGTATTTCTGTTATTTTCCTGCAAAACACTTCTGAACCAGTTCATCCACTTCTGTGGGTACTCTGTCTCAGTAGAACTGAAACAACTAATTTCTTCCTTGAGACAGACAAGTACTGGCCTTGAGGATCTGTCTGAACTGCCACAATCAACCAACCAAAAACTGCTGGCATACGAACTAAGCTATAGAAGGGACGCAGGAGCAAGGAACTGCATCAGGAGGAAGATCATCAGGAAGAGTGGTTGGTGGTACAAGTGAATGAAAACAGAACTTGAGACTACACTCTAGCAGAAGGAAATTGAGGCCCACAGGAGAAGTTTCTTGTGAAACAAGCTCCAGAAAGTGATGATCAGGCAAGAGTGTGTGTGCAGCCATGTTGCTAGCAGCGGAGTTACAGACTGATCCTGTTGGGAAGCTCAGGACTAGAGGGAGCAGCAGGGTGCTATTACCCAATGAAAAAAAAAATCTGGGGGAGGGTAGAAAGTTCTTTTACAGGGAATGGACTCCATATAGCAAACCTGAGTCTTCGAGAATTAGGATGTGCAATTCACAAAGGAAAGAGACTGCAAAGCTTTTTAATAGTTTAGAGATTATTTTTTCAATCAGTTTACATGTATCCTACACACACACAATAACGGTCAAAGGGTGGGGATAGTAATCATATCTATGTGCATAACTGCAGCACCAGAAGGCTAGGATACAAAGCAGCCTTGAGATCCCTGCCTGTTATCAAGGAATCTTTTCATAAAGTGCTCCTGACAGTCTGGCAACACCAGCTAGAAAATCCCTGTTATGAGTAGAAATACAAAGTGATATATGTAAAGAAATGTGTTTCATTAATAGAACCACGGAAATAAGCAGTGGTATAATACACAAGTACGAATTCAACATAAGTGATCTACCAAATCATTTGCAGATATCACAGCTCCCTGGTTTTTAACTTTTTTATTGGTAACCTTTACCTAAATTTACCATAAAGACTGTAACATCTGTTTGGATGATATTTTCTCCTATGGAACTAGAAAAAATATTTTAAAATATTTAAATCCAAGCTGTCTTCCAACTTAAACATAAGATGTTCCTTTATGACCTGAAAACACAGCCTTAATATTTTGGAGTATTTCAGGAATAGTCAAGTGTTTCAATATCAATGACGACTTCTTGGAATAAAGTTGAAAACTGTAAAACATTATCTCAATTTGGTAATTTTGTTATATCACAGCTACAGCTTTTTCCATTCATACAAATTTTTGCAAAGAAATTCACCATTTGTTTCATTCTCTTACTGCATCTGTATGGAGCAGCCTAGAACATATAAACTACCTACATAAATTGTAAGAAGAGATAATTCCATTCTTAAAACAGTTATCTTTGTAAAAAACCCCTGTGGATCTTTATTCCTGAAGAATATATCTTATTCCTATAGGTTATACCCAGTGACACTGATAAGATTTCTGTGAGAACAAATGGATAAAACTAGTCTTGTCCTGTACCTGTTGTGATTCGGAGATTATAATTTCTTTTTGTAGTTTTCCAATGATCATTTGTAAGACAGTATCTTCCATGTTTCCTCACCAATTTGAGGCAACTGACAAACAGTGCTAATCTAAACAAGACTTTTTAGTTTGCTGAGTGGCAACTGTTAACTTTTTTTTTAATTATACTATGCTACAATACATTTATTCACAGTTAAATTACTTTTAACCTCTTGCTAATTCCAGTGACAGTGTAAAAATACTTTGTAGTTATGTGGTGAAAGACTTTGATTATACATACCTCTGAAAAGAAAACAGACAGGATGACTAGGCTGATCCAGTGAATTACTCCTGCAAACTGTGAAGCACTTGAAACTGCAATACAATACAATGAAGCATCATTATAGTAGCAGAATGCAACTTACATTTAATACAATTAGTACTGCTACAACTTACATATGGGTAAAGTTTGCTTTCTTACATTTTGTAATGGAAGTACCTGAAATAGGATGGGATGTAATGGGACATGGAGCTGCAGCCCTGTCAGCTGCTCACCCTAATTCAGGCCAGCATGTTAGCAGCCACAGCAGCTGTTCATTGGAGCTTTTACAGATAAGACTGCTGGTAAGCAACAACATACATGTTTTAGGTCTTTGATGCTCTGTCACTGCTCCCATGTTCTCACTCCATGCACTGCTTTAGTATGAGATGTGTGACTAAATCCTGTATAGCTAAAAATGCAGAGTTAGAATTCTGTAAGGAAACAGAATGCTCTATTACCCCCACATTATTCCTTGTATTCAGCCTTTGACAGTTTTGCTCAGAAGAGCAGTAATTGTCTGGAACAGGTACCTAAAAACTAGTGCTCAAACCGGGCTTCAAAATAACAGTTCTATCATCTAAAGAAATAACCTAGGTAGGTAGACTTTTGTACAGCTCTCCAGATGTGGCATGAACAGCCACAACTGGCTTTGGATCCCATTCCTCCCAGAGTCAATTTTGACTCTAGGAAAACCATAGTGAGAAAAGCAACAGAAAGAAGCCACTGTTATTGTTAATTGTGAATAAGATCAAATCTTAATATGTTTTAAGGAGTTTGTGAAATATCAGCAACTGAATTTGTACAACAATGTGGTTTTGTACACTCTATTTCAGGAAACATGGCTGTCCTATGGGCAGTTTTGTCTTTAAGCAAGTTTCTATGAGAACACTCAAGAAAGCTACAGTAAATGAAGTAAAATTCACATTTAAGTAATTGGTTAAGATACACTATTTCCTTTGTAAGCACTTTTTTCAGAAAGACAGTGACCACTAAAACCACTTATATTCACTGCATTTCAAATTCCTCCATGAAAAGAAGTCTGTAAAGAATAAGTTAAAATGGTAATTTATAAAATTCTGTATTCTACACCCTACCTTCCCATATAGGTACTCTTTATGCATGCAGATTGATGAGGTAGTTATTCCACTTGCAAAGTGGAATGACTTTGAACAAAAGTCCTTTCAGGAACTGACTGGCAGGAATACTCAGGAAAACTTATCTGAATTTATTAAAAATATGATTATACAGAGTACTAAAGCCTTGCACGGACACTCATTGGCATTAATCAGGTTTTCATTTGATTCAACATTTTACTTATAAGCTGAATGAAATAAACTTAAGACACATGAGTTTGCTGCAAGATGACATATGAAGCTCTATGATACAGGTTCAAATCTGGAGGATTACTTAATAAGTAAGTTTGACTAAAATTCTGTGATCAAAATTCCCTTCATTGCCGACAAAACAAAGCAGAAAGTTGAAAGGGTCCAGTGTCTGAACTGCTAGCAACACCTAATCTAAAAATCACATGCTCTCAAGTTTAGAATAAGGGAATGAAGAGAAAAAATTATCTCTTTATGTCAGGGTATTTGTGAGTCTACTATCCTGTGGTGGTTTAAGCCCTGCTGGGACCGGAGACCACATTGCCGTTGCCCCTCTCCCACTGTCAGCCGGTCAGGCTTACAGTGAGGCACAAACCCCAGGTTGAAATAAGAAGAAATTTAATACAACAGTGTGATAAACAATCTGAACAACAACAATAGCAATGGTATTGCCGCCGGTGCACCGTCCTGGTAGCAATCAGCACTCGCTGCTCCTCAACCTTAAGCCGCCCCACCACTGAGGGATCCTCTGAGAGGCCGGGTAAGGTGGACAACTGTTCAACCTCCTCCAGGGCAGCTACACCAAAAGCCCACCGGTACCCTTTTGGGTCTTTCAAGTACCCTCTCCTGAGATAGTCTATGCCCAGGATGCACGGGGCATCTGGGCCAGTCATGATGGGGTGCTTATGCCAGTCCTTCCCAGTCAGGCTCACTTCAGCTTCCAGTAGGGTCAGCTGTTGGGATCCCCCTGTCACTCCGGAGATGCAGATGGATTCAATCCCACTGTAGCTCGATGGCATCAGGGTGCACTGTGCGCCAGTGTCCACCAAAGCCTTATACTCTTGTGGGTCTGATGTGCCAGGCCATCGGATCCACACTGTCCAGTAAATCCGATTATCCCTTTCTTCCACCTGGCTGGAGGCAGGGCCCCTCTAATCCTGCTCATCATCACTCACTTCTTGTAAGAATGATTCACTGGTCCCCTCAAGAGGGTCAAACATAACATTCGCCATTCTATTCTGTCTGGGGGATTTCTGACTGGACACTGGAGCTGCGTTCCTCTTGGAGGACTCCCCTTTTGTGATGGTCTTCCCTTTCAGCTGCTCTACTCGTGCAGCTAGGGCAGCAGTGGGCTGTCCATCCCACCTCCTCATGTTTTCTCCATGGTCATGGAGGAAAAATCACAGGGTGCTTCGTGGTGTGTACCTTCTTCTGCCTTTCTCTTGGGTGGGGAAACATTTACTTCCAAGGGCTGAGACATTAGCCTGTGCTGGTGCAATGTAGGACATGTCCTCTTCCATTTTCTGGACCCTCTGAGACAGTTCCTCCACAGCTGAGACCCAGGAATGGTGAGATGAGGGGAGATTTCCCTCATATTGCCGGAGCTTGCCAACCACTCCATCCACCGTTAGAGTGTGGGTGTCTGTCCACCAGGACACTATTGCCAACGCTTTCGAGTGCGCTTCTGGTGCGCTCTTCAGGAACTTTCGCCACATCAGGTGTGTGCAAGGGGCCTGATCTGGGTCCATGGGTGACTGCTCATCATTCAGATCACCACAGATCATCTCAAACACAGCCAGTTCCCTGAGGTTCTGGATGCCTTTCTCAATGCTGGTCCATTTGCTCAGCTGACATAGGATATCATCCTTGTAGGGGTGCCTCTCCCTCACACCAAGCAGGAGTCGCTTCCAAAGGTTGAGGGTTTGAGCCTGTTTCCCTATTTCCCTATCAATGCCAGCATCCTTAGCCAAAGATCCCAGGTGCTTGGCCTCTCTCCCCTCCATTTCAAAAGCACTGGCTCCGTTGTCCCAGCATCGGAGCAGCCAGGTGCAAATCTGCTCATCTCCCAGGCGGCCGAAATCTCTCCGCATATCTCGCAGCTCAGTCAGGGATAGAGATCGGACAATCACCTCTGGTCCTTCCTCCTGTTCCCATGATGGGCCTGGATCATCCCCACCCCTCACTTTGCAAACTGACTTTCTGGTATATTGTTTTCTGTATCGGGGCAACTGATACCAGCACTGGCTGGCTCTCTGGCTCAGCTGCTGTACTGATGGAGGCAACAGACTGGCTCTGCCTGTCACCCCGGCCCAGATACTGTACCAGTGAGTTCACTCTCAGGTTCTGTAGCCTCTTCTCCCCCTTGAGGGCAGTGGGTGGTATTTAAGAGGACACGGTACGCATGGGCAAGTCCCCAACACATTGCAGCGATTTGTGTCTCCTGGGTTTTGCCAGTTTGGTAACACACCCTTTCTAAGCACTCCATCAGCTTCACAGGGCTCTGCATTCGCTCAGGAGTGAAATTCCAAAGCATTGGAGGTGCCCACAGACTCAGGCCTTTGCCCATCTTTTCTCACACCCCTTGCCACTCACTATTATCTGACCTCGGGGCAGGTTTCCAGGCACTGATATTGTTAGATTAGTGCCGCATGGCCAAAACCGAAATCAGGCAGACATTCAGAAAGCATTGTGCCGCAATCACACTAGCCTGCAGGCTCCAAGGATAATTGAAACTCCCCAAAACCAAGAGGATCTCTTCCCCTGGCTCACCCATAGAGGGGGTGAGACCCCTAACAAAAGCCCAGGCAGCAAACAGGTACCGGCCCACCCCCCACCCCCCTCCCCCAGCGATACAAAGGCATTATAAGCACTCAGTAGCCCATATAAGACCCTTTATACATTTTCCACCAATAACAAACACCAGCACTGGGATCATATACTGGATATAAGGAATAATCCAGCCCCACCACGCAAGCAAGTGGGCCAGCATTGCAAACATTATTACACAATACAAATACAAACAGAAAAATTACAGCCAACAGATTGCTCTAACACACTCTGGTCAAGATCTGTCCCTTTTTGATTCTTATTTCAACCCAATTCGTGCCCCACTGGTGTGCCTAAAAACTCTGTGGTGGTTTAAGCCCTGATGGGACCGGAGACCATGTTGCCATTGCCCCTCCCCCACTGTCAGCTGGTCAGGCTGGCAGTGAGGCACAAACCCCGGGTTGAAATAAGAAGAAATTTAATACAACAGTGTGATAAACAATCTGAACAACAGTAGCAATGGTAACAACAATTAACAGCAATAACAGTGAACAAGACAAAAGATATACAGAGAAATACTGCAAATGGTTACGGAACAAGACCGCCGTGAGCTCCCAGCCACCAAAGCCACCAAGGAAAAAGTTCCTGCACTCTCACGCCTGGACCTGACGTCAGCATGGTATGAATAACCCAGCTGGAAATCCCTTCCCCCTTTTCCGCTGGGGAAGCTTAACCCTATCCTAGCTGAACCAGGACACATCCCTACAGCAAACAGATAAAAATAGTCCATGTGGTCTTGCAGTTTCAAAGAACTGCTGTGTAATAGCAAAGTTGAAGGCAACTGATGACTTTGCATAGAGATGCAAGACTGACAGAATTAACTAAGTCCCAAGAACATATAGGGCACGTGCTAAATAAAGCATTTTAAAATTAACTGATCAAAAAGGGAAGGGTATGAAAGGGATGTAGGATGAAATCAGGATACAAAGAAAACTGTGTGCTGCCACTAGAACTCTCAGCTAAGGTTCATCTGGGGCTTGATGAGAGGGTTTGCTGTGGTGCAACAGAGGAACTACTTAAAGATGAAACAAATGGGCAAAATATAATATATTTAACTTTCCCAAGACACTGTCTTTATAGAGTGGCACAAAGAACAAGAAATGGAAACCATTTGTAAGCTATTTTAAAGTTATTTTTCAAAGAGCTGTCGATTGACATACAAGGCTCCAGCTGCCCCTTAGTGGGCAAAAAAGATACAGCAACCAGAATTTGGAAAGAAAATCAATTTCTGATGCTGCACTAAACTGTAGCAGTGTGCTGGACACGTTACCACACAGCATGCAATTAAATTGCCAGTAACACAGTAAATTTGAAAAAGCCTTCCAAGCAAGAAGCTTTTGTGCAAGAAAAATCACTATGACAAAGACTGAATCACTAGCCCATACATTGAATCTGAATTTGCCTCTTCTGACACACTCCCTTTCAAAAACGCAGTGAAAAGCTTCAAAACCAGGAGAAGGGTCTTCTCCAGGAGGTGTTCATCCCTGCCCTATGATGATTTGGATACATCACTTTAAAAAAAGCACCTAAGCTGTTCAGCTTTTACTTTCATCTGGAACAGAATTACACATTTGTTGAACTTGTAAACACTTTTTCCCAAAACTATAGCTAAAAGCCAAAAAGTTCTGCTTTACTTCACATTTCGCTTGTCCGATGCTATGGGGAATAAGTGAATCACAGAATGGTTTGGGTTGGAAGGGACCTTAAAGATCATTCAGTCCCACCCCCCTGCCACAGGCAGGGACACCTTCCACTAGCCCAGGTTGCCCAAAGCCCCGTCCAACCTGGCCTTGAACACTGCCAGGGAGGGGGCAGACACAGCTTCTCTGGGAAACCAGTGCCCATGTCTCACCATCCTCACAGTAAAGAATTTCTTCCTTATTATCTAATCTAAATCTTCACTCTTTCAGTTTGAAACCATTACCCCTCATTCTATCCCTACCCTGCTGATCAAGAGTCCCTCCCCACCCTTCCTGTAGCCCCCTTTAAGTACTGGAAGGCCGCTCTAAGGTCTCCCTGGAGCCTTCTCTTCTCCAGCTGAACACCCCAACTCTCTCAGCCTGCCCCCATAAGGGAGGTGCTCCAGCCCCTGATCATCTTTGTGGCCTCCTCTGGACCCACAGGCAGGTCCATGTTCTTACTTGATGCCCCCAGAGCTAGACCCAGCACTGCAGGAGGGTCTCACAAGAGTGGAGCAGAGGAGGAGAGTCCCCTCCCTGTACCTGCTGCCCACACTGCTCTGGGTGCAGCCCAGGGTACCGTTGGCTTTCTGGGCTGTGAGCGCATGTTGCTGGCTCACACTCAGTTTTCCGTCCACTAATCCCCCCAAATCATCCTTGGGGCTGCTCTCAATCCACTCGTGGCCCAGCCTGGATTTGTGCTTGGGATTGCCCCAACCCATGGGCAGGACCTTGCACTTGGCCTTGATGAACTCCATGAAGTTTGCACGTCCCACCTCTCCAGGTCCCTCTGGATGGATCCCTTTGTTGACAAACCTGCTGAGGGTGCACTCCATCCCACTGTCCATGTCATGGACAAAGATGTTAAATAGCGCTGGTCCCAACACCAATTGGTCATGAAGATGATGGTTCGGTATAAAATGTGGAGTACAGCCAACCTCAGTCTACTTCCTCCCCCTTTTCCTCACTTCCACATCTCCTCAAAATGTATATCCAGGAGGGAAGGGATGAAGAATACATCCTGACAAACCCCGAGTGGCTATTATAGAAGCTTGTACTACCAGCACTTGCTTTTGGAGAATGTTGTTCTTGATGATGATTTCCTGGCAGATAAACTAGATTGCTTCTGCAAGGAGCACACAGCAGATGCTCACTGCATGGTTTGGACAAGCCTTAAACCCATTCTTACTGAGGCACTGCTATACTGCAACGTGCATTTTCTTTGCAAAGCTATGTGTGTACTCAGACAGGGCCCTGATCCAGCAACCAAATGGACAGGAGCAGAGGTTTTCAGCTTCACTTCAGGAAGGCCTGATGCCTTTTACAGGCACACCTGCCACAAGTGATTGCAGGGAGGACAATACTAAGATGATCTCCTGAGTTGCTTTCCTCCAAAACTACTGAAGACAAAGAAGTGGCGTATTTCTGATAAGTGGGGCTTAGAAGTTGCCATGACCCTCTTTTTTTGAAACAAGGTGCAAGTGACTTAATACATCTATTTCTGCATTTGCAAAACATCACAAGATATTGAGACATTATTTTGTTAATGCATGTGAAGAGCTCTGAAGATAGGACTAAAAAAAGTTGATTATAGGACAGAGACCTATAATAAAAGACCTATTGTATGTCTCCTGCTTTCTGTGGTTTCTAATTCTGATATGAATATGCCTTGTGCTGAAATACCCTAAAAGGTCTCTGTCCTTTTCATGTGTGTGACCTACGCATTTGCAAATGTGGTCTCCATCACTGGCAGTTTTGGGTATGGGAGAACTGCACGCTGCAACCAAAGACTGCACTAAAAGTATGAGAGGAAAATGATGTTCTCAAAATGTCACAGCCAAAATAAAAACCATTAAAAAAAAAAAAAAAGGAGGCTTCCTCAGTAACTGCAGTCTATAATATGGATTAGCAGTTGTTACTATGAGTGAAATTGGCAGCAGTGTGCCATAACATATCCTAATGCATTGGTTGATTTCATATAGAATAAGGAATCATATAAAACTCTAATTAAATTTTTGAAAAACATAATTATGGCCTAATGGCTTTTTAAAACCTTAAGGTAAGTGACACACATTCCTCATATGATTTAACTGCAATACTTGTATCCACCTCACCAAGATAGCCTTTATCTGATTTAAAACAAAATAGAAGATATTCAACCTAACAAAGGCAAGAAGCCTGATGCATTAAATCATTAGTTAAAATGCAAAGTAGCAACAGAGTAGAATAGGTCCTTTCTCAGGTGCTGAACCAATCCATACAGGTAGGGGCAGCCTCTGAACAGTGAAATCACCTGGCTCAACCAAACACCTATCGCTCATGCACAAGTTGTAAGCTGCAGAGCTTTTAAGAGTATCATATGTACTAGACACAGAGGAGGAATGATCTCTAAATTAAAGCCTTCTTTAGAAGATTCGTCAGAAAATAATCAGCAAGAAAGCAGGTGCTTCCAGAGGAAAGCCTCCAAAACTTAAATATCGAAAAGAAATCAACAGAAACCATTTTTAAACTCTTTGGTCCTACAGGAAGTGACAATTCTCTACATAAACAGGAAGATGTGGCACCTCAATAAATATTTTTGAAAGCTTCTTCAATTTTTAAGGACTGACACCCATAATTAGCATTCATGACATTTTTTCAGAACAGACTTGTCCGTCCAAATTCTGGGCTTCCTCAGCCAAAATTGCTAAGTCACCAGAGACAACTGAAAACTACAACTATAATGGATCAACCACACTCAGAATGGGGTGTGCAGCATGGACAGGGATGAATGGTGGACAACAGTTTTGAAAGACAGCTTAGTCATTTATTCATCTTATAGGGTTTATAAAATGGCTGCAGTTATCAATAAAGTCTCCTAAACTATTCTTAATACAATTGCAATACCCAAATCTTTACAGTGAAATCTAACATCACTAATATCAATTGACAAATCACAAAAATAGAAGGACCTCAACAGAATAAAAAGTTCCTTTGCCTGGTTGCCATAGAAGATCCCAGACCATAACTCTTTCATGCTAAGTATTCTTGCATTTTTGGGATTGTCTGAAACCCATCAGTGTTGTTTCAACATATCTGAGATTGCATGGAGATGTTAGAGGCTGCTCTTCAACATTTAGCATAGGAAAAAATGTAGCTGGTATTTGCATTCATGTCAGCTTTGTATGGTAAAGAAAAAAAAGGAAAAGGGGGGAATGGAGGAAAAGAGCAGTAGGGGAAAAAAAAGAATTAGGAAGCAAAACAACAGCATTAAATTTTCCATTGTGGAACCTGTGTAGAGTGAATTCAGATAAAGCAAAACTCCACTTAAGCTATTATTTGATTCCCAGTGTGTTAGCAAAGTAGAATCAAAATCTGTGTCATTTCAGTGCATTACAAGATACAAAACCATAATTTCGATTTCTACCCAACTCAGTAGAAGTAATAAAGACAGCACCCTAGCAAGTTCATCACTTCTGTCTATACATATGCATGTGAAAAGTATCAGAGATTAATGATGCACAAATGATCTTTCTTCTGTGTATACAGAGTGTGTTTGTAAAGGACAGACCTTTTCAAGTACTAATGACAGTATGCGCAGATCCCTGCATGTACACTCTGCTTGTATCCTTTGAAAATTTTTCCTTTACTGAATCTGGTAAGCAAAAATAAGGAAGAGACTGACTTCACTATACCAGGGTTCCACAAAACCACATTTCTTACCTATCCTAGTAACCATTTAAATCGTAGGAAAGAACAAATCCCCAACATCCTCCCCCCTTCAAAATCTCCCAGCAAGTTAAGCCTTTATTTCATCAAAACTTAAAAAAATAAAAATCCTCCTACTCACACTGGAGAAGCTTTATATCTATTAGGAGTTCCAGAGTCAGAAGAATCACCACCAATACTACACAGGCTACCAGGAAACTGTTGAGACTTGCACTGAGCAAAAATACCTGCCACACAGCTGCTCGTCTCCCACAGCACGGTTTTAGCCAGTTAGATCTAAGGAAATAAAATTAAGAGGAGAAACAAGAAAAGAAAAGAAGTGAAAAAGGAAGAGAGCTAAAGAGAAGTGAACTCAAAATTACAAGTTCTGCTGTTATGGATACACTCAGCAGTAACATACAAAGACTTTGCAAAACTCACTTTTATTGGTTTATTTACCAAGAAAAACACTTCAAAAAAAAAATTCATCCTGGGGTCTTGTGTGTCTCCAACCCTCTGGAGTGTACCAGTGGTCAAGGGCCTTCCAATGCACTAACACAATCCTAATTACATACATACTTTTCTGCTTTCTTCCTCTCTTACTATTTTTCATGTGTTTTTATTTTGATGTACATGCTGCATTCACACATCTGTGAGTACCAAGGCACAGCAGGACTCTGCTATTAGATTAGAAGCTAATGATGTTTAAGAATTTCTCTACCATTGAATTTTATGGTCATGAACCTTTATCCCTGTTCTAGTATGAGACAAATCAGACAAGATCTGCCAAATTTAGTTTGCAACAATCAGTCTGTGACATCATGGAAAAGAGCAATAGGAATCTGGGAAACACTGAAGAATAAGCTCAGTGACTCCACAGCTACACCTATACTAGCAAATATACACAGCCTGGCAAGGTGTCAAGCCACTGGCCAAGGCTGTCCAGTTTGTCTATTTGTCTAACTCTCACCAATCTGTTTGTGGACCAGGCCAAAAAGGACTTTCCTAGAGTTTGGGGTAGCACAGTTTTGGGGACAGAATACACCAGGGACTGCTCCCAAACCTAGTATAAATGAGATCACCTTGTTTTGGAGGAAAAGAAGGTTTAGATACCATGAAGGGAGCTGTGAGGAGGCTACAAGGACCAGAACTCTGGAATGAAGCTGATGAATCAGTAAATGTTGCACTAGTGTTGTGCTAATGCAGATACACATTTTCAAGCGGGTTATTAAAAAAAGTATTTTTTTCTTTTGAAAATATTTACAATAGGAATAACTGCAGCAGAGACTTCAGAAGCATAAAGCCCATCCTGCTACTTCTCTTCTAAAAATCCCCCCATAGTTTCAATTTGATACAGTACCATATAATTTCTCATCATAGTGTTTCATAATGTTCTTGTACTGGTCTACCTCTGAAAGTTCTGATGCTTGCCTGGCACTTCGTATTTTCAAAGCACTGTACATACACATTAGCTAATAAAGAGCTGACATGATTTATTAATTAGAGTTTAAGAAACTGCAAGCATACAGAAGTGTGGTGCAGTAACCGCACTATCTGAACTAAAATATCAATACACAGAAATCAATGCTATACAAGAAGATATGATGATACTGATCAATTCCAAATAAATAGCTCTAGATTCAGTAACTCATGCCAAAAGTAAACACTTGGAAAAGCATCACAAAACATTCCCTGACATATTCACACTCAAAAATGAGAGTGAAAGTGATGATAAGCAGTGCTCAAAAGACTTGACACTTTCAAGCAGCTTCTCAGAATTAAGCATATCAACTAAATACTTGTACTCAGGTTGCCTGATTACCTGACCTTAAAAGGCCTCCTCAACTGACTCTTAAAACTTTGGAGATTTGACAAGTGTCACTATCAGGAACTTGCCCTTAGTTTAACTTTGTTATGGTTCTAGCCTGAACACAGAATGCACTAGATTTTAAACAGTTATTTTCAAAACATAAGGAAGAAAAAGCATTGGGACAGGACCTCTTTGCAAACTTGATCTTTTAGTAGATTTTATTTTACATCATCTCAAAACAGTATAACTTGTCTTTACTGCAACTGTTATTTTGGGTTTTGGTTTTGTATCTTTCTAAAAATAACACTAGGGAACAGCCCAGTTTAAATAGAAGAGTTTTTAGTTCTATTCTCTTCCTACAGCTGTCTTCCCTTTTCTAAAAAGTCTTGTTTTACCAGCATTTTAACATTGCATTGCAGTTATCCTCTTTCCTATTCTCAAAATGATCAGTAGAGGGCCTAAGTACATGCCTTTAGAAGCTCTATGCAGTGGAGATTTTCAAATGTACCAGTAAGAATAAATCAACTGTGATACTCAGCACATATTACATATAGCCACGATAATCATTATTCAAGCTAATAATTACTTAGAGAATGCTAAAGAATGTGGAGTTATTCTGTCTGTGCAGTTCTAATACTCCACTGATTCAAAAAAGCTTCTGAATGAAACAGTTTACTATTAGAAAAGCAATCAATATAAGAGGTCAAGGGCAGATCACCTGCATGTTTACACCTACGTATCAATCATAAAAATATATAAACCGATACCAAAGACACTGAAGTGTTTGAGATTTAAGCACTGAAAAAACACCTCCTTCATATCTTATTACACAAAAGTGCATTTCTTCAACACTTGTCCTATGAATGGACAATTATTAGCATCTTCACATCGTTGCCTAGCAGACCTCTTTTCAGACCTCCTCCAAGTCCTCTGAACCCACTGACATTAACAACCCATTGTGCTCTAAAAGGAGCACTGAATGGTTTCATTCCTGTGTGCTGCTTAGCTAGCTCATTCCCTGTGACTTCTACACTCCTGTATATTAGAGTCCTGGTTTTCCTGTGGGATGTTGGTTTATGATTGGTTTGTGTTTTTGTGTTGGGGTTTTTTTTTTTTTAATTCTTATATCTTGAAAAAGATGGACATAAATAATAAAAGGAACTATAAGAAAAAGTGCCCTATTTCATTCAGTACTTCTTTTTGTGTCCTGACTGTGTTGTCTGTGGATGCCATGCCCTATATGGATACCAGTAAGGTATGACTTAGGACAACTTTACTGTGTCACTTCAATCAGGTTCATTAGGTATCTCAGTTACTCCGCCTCTATAACAGGAATACTATAGACCTTACGATCCCTGGATGAAGTAAATCAATGTACTAGCATGGGAATTTCTTGCTTGATGGTTATACAGGGTTGTAAAGTTTTGTCATGAGACGTTAAAATATATTTAGTGCAACTTTACCAGGGGTAATTCTTTTTAAAGACACATTCACACATGGCTTTGTGGAAAACCAATCTGTCATCATCACTGCTAGCTTTATTAATAAACAGCTTGGAAAAAAAGAACATAAGGCAAAACTGGGAAAGGTTTAACGTATTTATTTGGTAAGGAACCACTACAAACAATTTGTTCAAGCTGTTAACAGCTGTCACTGTTTCTATTTTCTGGTCTTGTAAACAAATACCCCAAAATCTGCATTATACCTTACCCTGTCTTTTTTTTTTTTTTGGCTAAACAACAAGTGTTTGCATCTCACAAGATGGCTATGACCAGAAAACAGAAGGATGGATGAGATCCAAATCACTATCTGAAGGAGCAGAAAGCCCATGGTCAGGAAGTGACAGGAACACAGAAAGGCGAAGTAACAATACAAAATCTGGCTGAGACAACACAGACAGCAGAGCCTCACAGCAGGCTACAGAAGCCGCTGGAAGCCCTGAGCAACTCCAAGGAACAGACAGATCTCTGCACCCCTTGCCTGAACTTCTCTTACAAGCTTAGTTTAACTACAGAAGTTTAACTATTGAGAGAACCCTCATCCTTTTTTTCCCCCCTAAGTTTTACTATCTCAAACCCCATGACATTTCTTGGGAGTTTGATGCAAAACTCTGTTGCTTAAATGGCATGAAAGATTCCCCCAGTTTTCTGCCTAAACTCGCACATGGCCAGTTTATACATATTTGCTTTTGTGCCAGTATTGTTCTTTAGCTTGATTAGTTCTTTTCCCTTGCTGGCATTTCGTCCATGATGCATTTATACACAGCAATGGCACATCCACTCATGTAATTTAATTAAAGCCTATGCTTTTCATAAAACAGACACTCAGTTTTCTCTTAGTAGTCCCTTCTGCACGTGGATACAGACAACTAGAGCAGTACATAATATTCTGGAATAGGTTTAATTATGTGAATGCTTCTCAGCTCTATCTGAAGTACTTTCTGCTTTCTAGGATCATTTGTGCCTTCTTTATAGGTCTATATCACACCATTTGCTCACAGACATCCTGTGATTACCTGGTACATTACTCTTCCCATTAGAAAATTGCTTATTAGACTTTTCCTTTTTATGCTAAGGTTTTTAGCAAAATATTAAGATCATGTTCAAAAACAACCTTTATGAAACATAAGAAGAGCCATATTAGGTTAGAACAAATGCTTGGTATCCCTGTCTCCAACAGCGGCCATGAGCAGACATCTCAAGATGAATAAGAACACAGCAAACATGTAACACAGCATCCAACTATTTTCAACTTGGTGACTTCCTGAGACAGATGTTGTTTCTTGGATTCTACTTAGTAACCTCCAATGAATTTCTCTTCCACAGACTTGTCCGACTTCCCCTTAAGGCTAGATAAGATATTAGCAGCCACACATCCTTTAGAAAGTAGTTCCACACATCTACTGCCCTCTGTACAAAGAGCAACTTCTTTTTTTTTTTTTTTTTTCTTTTGAACGTGGCCATAATCTATTAATATACCCTAGCACCTCTATTGGGAGGTTGGGTGTGTGTGTTTCAAACTTTATTTTAACCTCTCTGTGTCACAGGTTTTGTAATCACAGTCAAATCTCCTGTCAGCCTTCTCTTTTCCAGATTGAAGAGTCCTAGCTTACATAGTAATCTTCAGTAGAAATTGTATCACATCTCTGATCGCAGTTTTTCTTTGAATCTTTTCCAGTTCTTTCATATCTACCATATCCTTTTTGACAGGGACCAGAACTACATTCATGCTGAAGACATGGACAAAGCTTGGATATACAGAGAGGCACAACAATGGCCTGTCCCTCTTTTATTCTCTACTGCTTTTCCTAATGAATCCTAACATCTGATTTGATTTTGGACTGCTCAGCATTTGCCTGACATTTTCATGGACTCTACTTCCAGGCTAATATTCCTCTTTTACACATTTCCCCTTTGTCCTATGGCTTATCCATCCTTCAGTTTTTGCATCAAGCCATGCCTTCTCCAATTTAGACAATTAATTCCAG